TTAGTCAGCTTAGGTTATCCAAATCATCTCAAAGGAAATTTTTACTAATCATTGTTATGTTAGGGACCGAGTGCTCCTTCTGGAGCTGAGTGAAGACGGACAATGAGCAATGCCTGCTTGCTTGGAGGCTGCAGACTGTGCCTGTCCTAGCTGCTATGTTTGAACTTCACCTTGACTCTGTTGTGAGTCTGAAATAATATTAACATACAGATAGAGCACACCTCCCTGTCTCCCTCATTCCACCTCTAAACCACCTTCAATTCAAACCTGGACTGCACTTGAAGAAAAATACAGAGCATTTATTCTTGCTCAGAAATATTACCTTTCTTTTCACAAATTTATCCCAGTAGTTGTTGGGAAATGACCTAAAAGATAGAAAAGCAGAAAAATAAAATAGTATTTTTTCTAACTAATAAGTAATAACATAGCATTTTACATGTACAAAATACTTAGCGATATATAAACATATACCCTGTCATCCATATAAAAGTAAACTTGGTTGATATCTTATCCCATAATTTTAATACAGTATAAGTACACTGAATATCATTTTAAATGTTAATATAATACACAAGGAAATTGCACAAAAAAGACTGCAAGCTAATACTTTAATGGAGAATAAGTACATTAATAAGTAGTATTGGTATAGGATGGCCATAATGTTTGTATGCCAAATTTAAAATAATTGTCATAAACTTTATGGCCACCCTGTATTTGTCCTTTATTTATACAAAATCAATACCTAGATTTGTTTGTCAGTTGTCTTTAAAAATTAAAGTATCTAGAAATATGTCTTTTCTCTTTTTTCCTATGAAGAAAAAAATCTTCCCATCGAATTATCTTCAAAGAAACTTTGAGCATGGCACCCAACCATAACGCTGGCAGTTTGACTAACTTATCTCTATACTAGAAGGGACTGACTTGATCAGACTTAGCATTAATGGGTAGAATTGCTAAGCAAAACAGAACTAGATACTCTAGTGTCTAGAGTAAACCTGGAAACTGCATAAATAAGTCATCTCCATTTGAAAATTCAGAACCGATTAGAAATTATAATCTTTTATTAATAATCAAAATTAAAGACAATAAGAAAAAAGTATTTCACTCTTCAACAGCAAACAAAAACTCTTCTAAAATTCTGTATCATTAATACTTTTTATGGTAGAAAATTATATGTTTGTGATGGATTTATATCTTGTCTGGGTTTTTTTTGTTTGTTTGTTTTTGAGACAGAGCCTCAAGCTGTCCCCCTGGGTAGAGTGCCATGGCTTCACTGCTCACAGCAACCTCCAACTCCTGGGCTCAAGCGAGTCTCCTGCCTCAGCCTCCCAAGTAGCTGGGATCACAGGCGTCTGCCACAACGCCCGCTATTTTTTGGTTGCAGCCGTCATTGTTGTTTGGCGGGTCCAGGCTGGGGATTCGAACCCGCCACCTTAGGTGTACATGGCTGGCGCCTTAGCCGGTTGAGCTATAGGAGCCGAGCCTCTTGTCTGGGTTTTGATGCCACCAGGCTAAAATGCTTCTTAGATAGAAAAAGTAATTGTTTCCCTGTCTGACATTTTATATCATGTCATAACATTCAGCTACTTTTATGCTAGGCTGCTTGACGGTACCAAGTGAAAGTTTATCATTCAGATGTATTAAAAGTGTGAAATGCAATATTTTTGCCTTTAATGCTACAACTCTTTCCTTAATAAATAATTTCTTGCTTCCTCTGCTGTTGGATGAGATAACCCTGCGCTGTGGGTTCAGTACCACACAGTCCCCTGAACACTCCGTGGTGAATGTGACAGTCCTCAGTGCTGGGGACATGAACTCAAAGCCATTTCTGATTAAAGACTTCATAGCCGGGCGTTGTGGCGGGCGCCTGTGGTCCCAGCTACTTGGGAGGCGGAGGCAGGAGACTCGCTTGAGCCCAGGAGTTGGAGGTTGCTGTGAGCTGTAATGCCACGGCACTCTGCCCAGGGGGACAGCTTGAGGCTCTGTCTCAAAAAAAAAAATAAAACAAAAAAATAAAAAGACTTCAGAGCACAGGGGGCAAAGATGGAGGGCATCCATTAGGAGGCTGAGGGTGCTTAGTCTTTTGATTTTCTTGGCTGAATACGTAACTCTTATTCACCTCTGCTAAACTTTGGGCAAATCGACAGAACTCCAGCCAAGTATTTTTACGTCTTGAAACTTTTGAGCACAGAAATGTCTCCTGTGATTCTTTACTCACTGTGTGTTGATCACGAGTCGGTCCCACTGCCCTTTGATATCGTCCTCCGAAGGCTGCTCTGTAATATAAAGCCCGTCAAATTCCAATTTCCGAGCTACTTCTTTCTCTCGCTTAAAGATAACCAGTGGGACCTAGAGATGAAAAGTAAACATGGCGAAATTAGTTTACATTTACTGCTCTCTCCTGTGGTCACTATCTTGACCAAACAGCTTTTGGGGAAAAAAATATTTCCCATGTACTTCTAGGAAGTGACTATGAATCAGCTACATTTAAGCAGAAAGAAGCTTCTAGAAAGAATACAGAAGATATAAATATTATTTAATGCATAAACAAAAGTTGACAGAAAATTTCACTAACAAAACCATTTTTTAACACCAAAGAGAAAAAGATGATGATGCATAAGTGTCTTCCTTTTATACGCACACATATCTTAGCACTAATGGATAAAATAAAATTGAGCAATCTTAGCAATCTAGTTGAGTTTTATGTGAGAAGCCTCTTTAATAATTCCAGGCTCAGGCTGCCCACATGCTATTTTGAGATAAGTTTTCATTTCAACGTCAGCAAAAAAATCTTTGTCGTTTTGCCAAAACGTATCCAAAACATATTGATTCTTTTTTTCCTACAGCCAGACTTTATACAAGGCACGCATAGAAGAAAGATACAGAAATTCTGGACGTATTCAAGAATATTCACCCCCATGAGACAAGGGAATAAAAAATAGGGGAGGAGTTTCAGGACACTTTACATTTGGGTCTTTTACTGTGGGCTCTGGGTTTTCAAGTGCCTTCTGGAAGCTTCATAACCAGAGATGGAGGACAGAGAATGAAAGCATCACAGTGAAAGGCATCTTACTGGGGGAAGATAAAGAGGTTTGCACAGGTAATGAGCAGCTCTGAGCACTCAGAGAGGCGATCTTGATTCTGTTCACTGAATTATAGTGCTCCCTTGGCAGACCACAGGGGATAAAGCGGTATTGTTTTCTGGGTGAAGTGTGACAAATTGTGAGGTATTTCTGCCAAGGATAGCAATAGACACTTCCGAACAACACAAGGATGAAAACGACTCATAGGTTGGATGAGATGCATTTCTGTTAAGTCTTGATACAATGGAGCGTCACTGCATCTGTCCAATAGAGTGGGCGGGAGAGCTCCCTTCTGTGTAGTCCAGGCATAGTGAGGCCGTCCACTATGTGGACAATCAACAGATATGAATGAAAGGAGCAAGAAGAAGGCCTAAGGCCCTTTACCAGCCTGCAGCGTACGTCTGGTCACCGGCAGGCTCCAATGCCCAGGCCAGGATGAGCCTGAAAGAGCCTCCCAGCTGCAGAGACTGTGCCTGCTGCATCTACACCATTGCCCACTTTCCCCTCTGCCCCATCCCGCTTCCTCCACTGCCCCACAGAGGGCAGTTAACAGAGCACACCTAATCAACTTCATGCATGAAACTTCCATCTCAGAATCTGCTTCCTTGGAAGTCCAATCAGCAACACACACACACACAGGTGCACCCGGCTACCGGGGTGTCTCACTATCTTACTTTCAAGCAGTAGTAACCAATGATGCAGAAGAAAGAGATCACGGTGTGGAGAATGGCCAAGATGCGCAGCGTGGGCTCCATGTAGCCGCTGCTCTCTTCCAGGACGTAGTGGACGGCGATGACCCTGGGGGAGCTGCTGTCCAGGCTGGTGACTCTGGTATTCTCACTGGAACTTCGAGGGGGGAGCTCCTTTCCTTCAACCACAGAAGAAGTGGAGACCTGATTCAAAACATTGAAAGTTCAGTCAGGGCGCTGCCTCTAAGGGTTCACTGCACGCAAAAAACAGCGGAAAGACAGGCTTCTTAGCAAATAGTTGGATGTGAAGTAATTGCATAATGAAAGGATCAACACACAAACTAAAGTGTATATAATTTTGAAATTCATTGTAATTCAACAAAAGTTATGAGCATTTCCAGCGCATGCAGGAAAAAAGTAGATGGCTAAGCTCTCTTCTCAGTTATCAAAAGAATTGAGCTTAGGAAAAAAAAAAAAAAAAGAATTGAGCTTAGGTATGCAACACCCAGATCTAGTACCGTGTTTCCCCAAAAATAAGACCTACCCCCAAAATAAGCCCTAATAAGACCTACCCAAAAAATAAGCCCTAGCAGGATTTCTATGCATTTGTTAAATATAAGCCCTACCCTGATAATAAGACCTAGTGATGGGCGTGGTTATGCTGATATCATGAGCGCCTAGTGATGGGTGTGGCTATGTAGATTTCTATGCATTTGTTAAATATAAGCCCTACCCCGATAATAAGACCTAGTGATGGGTGTGGCCATGCATTTTGGTGCAGAGAGGAAGATATCCCCTGAAAATAAGCCCTAATTTGTCTTCTTGAGAAAAAATAAATATAAGACAGTGTCTTATTTTGGGGGAAACACGGTAAGGAGTAAGGTATTCAGCTAAATTAGCCTGGGTCTGCTGCAGGTGGACCCTCTGCTAAATAAAAAGCTCTTCAGTTGAGGCTATTCTCAGGTGGTAGGAAGAACAAATCTACCTTGCCTTCCTAGGTGACAGGTGCCTGGTCAGGTTTTTTTTTTTTTTTTTCCATTAAGATGTATTTAACAACAGGCTTAGATGTGTTCACTAGATCTGTGAAATCTCTACATTCATTTCAGTCTATCTCAGTGTTATACTGGTCATCAAAGCACAGAGACGTACATACCTTGTAAAAGAGCAAGATGAAATTGATTGCAAATGCGACAAATAAGGCTAACATTCTCATGTTGTAAAAGTTGCGAGCAAAATAGTTCTGAAGGTGAAAAGAATTATGACAAAGTCACTGAATCAAGAGACTTGAAGTGTGCAGACAAATTAAACAAACCATTTATCCATTTACCCCAAACTGTTGATCACAAGCCTGCTATGTATCAAGCACCATTCTTGATAGACCTAACAGTAAGGAGGACATTTGGGCCACTACGGAGGGGACAAAGAATTAAAAAGAAAACCCACAAATAAAAAGTATAATTTCAGGGAATGCTGAATTCTACAAATAAAAACATCAGAGAGGCGGGGGGCGGTGGCTCAGACCTGTAACCTAGCATTTTGGGAGGCTGAGGCAAGTGGATTGCATAAGCTCAGGAGTTTAAGACCACCCTGACCCTGAGCAAGTGTGAGACCCTGTCTCTAAAAATAGCCGGGCATGGTGGCAGGTGCCTGTAGTTCCAGCTACTCAGGAGGTGGAGCTAAGAGAAATGCTTGAGCCCAAGAGTTTGAGGTCACTGTGAGCTGTGATGCCACAGCACTCTGCCCAGGGGGACAGAGTGAGACTCTGTCTCAAAAACAAAACAAAAACACACATCAGTAGCTTAGGGAGGGGAGTGCTATTTTATATGATGGTAGTCATGGAAAGGTTATCTCTGGAGGTAACATTTCAGCAAAGCCCCCTGAAGGCAGTGGGGGGGGGCAAGTCACGTGAGTATGTGGCGGGAGGAAGAGTATGTCAGAGAGGAGCACGAAGCACAGGGCCTGAGTTACCTGTGGTGTGTCTGAGAAACAGGAAGAAGGAAGCACAGTGAGAGGAGTGAGTGGTGGGGCCCGGGTGGGTGAGATCATGAGGTCAGACGGGTGAGCAGAGATGGGATTCTGCAGCCTCTTGGTAAAAGTTTGTGTTGCCTCTCTCAGTGCACTGCCTGGAAAGGGAGCCTGTCTCAGCCACCTGCTAGCTGCGGAATGTGGACAAAGGACTTCACCTTTCCTGTGGCATCACTTTGCTCGTCTGAAGTGAACAGAACTTACCTCGCAATTTTGCACTGAGGATTAAATGAGTTAATACAGGGAAAGTTAGGTATTAGTTTTATTATTGCAATGAACGATTACAGTTTTATCTATAATAAACATTATATTATTATATAACAATTATTATTATTATTATTTTTTTTTAGAGACGAGTCTCACTTTATTGCCCTCAGTAGAGTACCATGGCATCACAGCTCACAGCAACCTCCAACTCCTGGGCTTGGGTGATTCTCTTGCCTCAGCCTCCTGAGTAGCTGGGACTACAGGTGCCCACCACAATGCCCAGCTATTTTTTGGTTGCAGTTTGGCGGGGGCCGGGTTTGAACCTGCCACCCTCCGTATATGGGGCCAGAGCCCTACCCACTGAGCCACAGGTGCCACCCATATAACAATTATTTTATTCTAAGTAGGATCAGGAAGTTTGGAGAGGGTTGGGTACACTCAGACTGTGACTTGGAGAGATCACTCTAGTTACTATTGGAAAATACACAGTAGGGTCAAGAATGGATGGGAGGGGTCCAGCTACTGAGTTATTTTTGGGACTGCAGGAGGAGGTGACGTTGACGGCGGTGGCTTGGATTCCCTGGTAGCATGCAGATGGCAAGAAATGGGCACACTCTGCGTGTATGTGGAAGGAAGGACGAGGTGAGGAGAATTATAGCTGGGTTGAGGTGGGAAAGAGAGAGAGGACTCAAAGGCGATAACTTTCTGGATGTGGGGGCTTGGGCAACGAAGTGAATGGTGGGTGCAGTTTAACAAGCTGAAAAAACTACCTACAGGTGAAGTGGTGAATGAAATAAACTTTGGTAGAACAAAGGAAATCAAATCGGGGCTAACATCACGTGGGAGACGTTTACAAGTAATTCAAGGAGATGTGCCCAGGGTATTCGTATCCCAAAGCCATATCAAAATAGCAACACCTCAAAATGGCATTCTCCCCACACACAAACCCTACCTCTGTTGGTGTCATTTCCCCTACACAGGACCCTATATTTGCTGCCATCCCTCACTGGACCCTGGCTGGACATCACACCCAAACTGGGTCAGCCACATCGGTTCTCCTGGGAAGGTGGGTCTGGGTCACAGGCTGAGTTAGCTAACCCTGGTTATCTGAGCTGAACGATCACAGAGACCTGGAGGACAAGAGACCTTTGCTAGACTGATGTGGCCATGGTTAGTCTTAAGCATGTGAACTGGTAAGCCAGGAAAGACGAAAGAGAAGAAAGAAAATGGGGCTGTGCAGAGACAGGAGAATGTGTGAGCCCTGGTGTGGAGCTCGCAGCAAAACCTCAGTCAGCTGGTTTCCTGTGGCTGACCACAGGCACCAGTGCTACTGAAGAGTGTTGGGGTGCAACCCACTCTAACATCTAGAATACAGCTATCCCAGCAGCCATGGAAACCACCGTGGCATATTGAATCAATAATTACTCAGAGTTAGCAAGAAAACTCGTATGTTCAGTGTGCATTTTTCTTTTTCTTTTTGGAGATAGAATCTTGCTTTGTCACCCCAGGCTAGAGTGCAATGGCATCATCATAACCCACTGCAATCTCAAACTCCTGTGCTCAAGCAATCCTTCTGCTCCCCCAAGTAGCTGGGACTATGGGTGCCCACCACACTTGGCTAATTTTTTCTATCTTTTGTAGAGACAAAGTCTCACCTTTGCTTAGGCTGCTCTGGTCAAGTGATCTTACCACTTCGGCCTCCCAGTGTGCTGGGGTTACAGGCATGACCTACCTTGCCCCACCAAAGATTGGACGTTTTTGTTTTTTTTTTTTTCAAGATAAGGTCTTGTTCTGTTGCCTGAGCTAGTGTGGTGGCACAATCATAGTTGAAGGCAACCTTGAACTCCTAGGCTTAAGGCATCCTCCCACCTCAGCCTCCAGAGTGGTACAGGCAAGTGCCACCTTGCCCAGCTTATGTTCAGTATACTTTGAGTAACCAATATGGGAAAAACACAAGATGGTTCAAGAAAACATAGTTAAAGCTATCAATTGATGTACATTTGCATAAATCATATAAAATGCATAATATATTTATATGCTTATAAATAAGCAGGTAGAATCTGTAATTACTGAGGACAATCTAGCTCCTTGTTGATGGAGTTCTGTAGTACCCTGAGTTTCTTCATTGTCTGTTTTTGATTTCTTAAGAGCTATAAAATGCTAAATATGACTTCGCCTTTTTGCTCCTAATTTTTAGGTCTGATATTATTGGTCAGTATCTCTTATAGATTCATTCCACAAACTCATCCCCTATCCTTTTCCTCTCTTAAAAAAAATATATATATATATATAAAATATTATATATACGCATGTATTTACAAAAGGCCTTTCAATAAGATTTTTAAGAATTCTAGTGTGGCAGGCTGCAGGGTCTCACACTGGAATCCCAGTTACCAAGGAGGCTGAGATAGGAGGTTCACTTGAGGCCAGGGGTTCACGATCAGCCTCCGTAAAAAGACCCTTTCTCCCCCCACACTAATTCCAATATGAACACGAACAGAGACAGATAACTATATATTTTTTTCCTTGATTTTTAGATATGAATTACGTTTTACTAATTTAGGGACCACGTCTGCAAAATATATACGATGCTACCTAAAGAACGATCACCTCTCTTGATTCTCTCATTTTTCTTTTACTGGTCTGTAAGTGAAGGATAATTTTGCACAGACCTTCTCATCATAAAAGGAAAGTTGGCTCATTGAGTTCATATTTTTATAACTGGATTTTTAAATAAAAGTGTGATATTATAGAAATACTGACTAATTCAGTTCTGGAACATGAGTGAGAATTACTTGTGGCCCAGCAGGCATGTTTTGCCCTCATCTATTACAGAGTCTCTGATTAATCGACCTGTCCTAATGTCTCTGCAGGAAACCTGGCAGTGCAATACTAGTTGTCATTAAACTGAAGGGTTTCCAAGTGTGAATGTGTGTGGAGATTAAGGGTTTGAAATAGGGAGCAGGGGACCAACAGCCTTCATTATAAAAAATAAACACACCTAGATGAATGAATAAAACAGAATGCTTTGCACATATGAACTGGTCCCCTTATTGCTACCCAAGAGAAGGTCAATCAATGTTTACTGAGCCTGATTATTATGGGCTTACAATATATCAGTAACGCTATGCATTCTAAAACATCTTACTAGAAGTTTCTGTTGATACGCTATGATTTTCTTCCAGAACGCGGACTCTGGAACTTCTGGCTCTCCGTATCTGTGTGTGTGGAGCTGCCTCAACTTCTGTTTAGACTTGTCGTCTCTGGGCTTCTCCTTTTCTCCATCTTCGCCCCTGTGAAAAATAAAAGAAAGACATATAAACTATCCAGAAACTAAAGAACAGGCATTGCACAAAAATATTAATTGTGAACAAATAGTTTGGGCCATAGCATAGTTTTTTAAAAACTGATTTGTTGGCAGGTCATGGTAGCTCATGCCTGTAATCCTTGCATTCTGGGAGGCCAAGGCAGGTGGATTGTTGAGCTCAGGAGTTCAAGTCCAGCCTGAGCAAAAATGAGACTCTGTCTCTACTAAAAATAGAAAAATTAGCCAGGTGTTTGGTAGGTGCCTATAGTTGTAGCTACTTTGGAGGCTGAGGCAGGGGATCGCTTGAGCCCAGGAGCTTGAGGTTGCTGTGAGTTAGGATGCCAGAGCACTCTACAGAGGCCACAGAGACCATGTCTCAAAAAAAAAAAAAAGAGAGAGAGAGAGAGAGAAATGAGTGATGACTAATTTCTCTACCATGAATGATAATATTCTAAATTTAGGGTCAGGTAGAATTTCCTGCCATTCACAGCCCCCTGTAGACAGATAATTCTGTGAAGTTCTAATCTAGAGGACATTTTACAGTCTTGAGGAATCTTTACAGCTAACCTTTTCAGGTTCCCTTTCAATTGTGTAATAAAAACATTAAATTGAAATGAATAGCAATGAAGCTACTCTTTTCTTTTGAGACAGAGTCTCGCTTTGTTGCTCTGGGTGGAGTGCTGTGGCATCATCATAGCTCACAACAACCTCAATCTATTGGGCACACAAGATTCTCTTGCCTCAACCTCCCAAGGAGCTAGAACTACAGGCATGTACCATCACACCTGGATAGTTTTTCCATTTTTTTTTTTTTAGTACAGATTGGGTTTTGCTCTTGCTTAGGCTGGTCTTGAACTCCTGAGCTCAACAATCCACCTGCCTTGGCCTCCCACAGTGCTAGGATTGTAGGCATGAGCCACCACACCTGACCAACTTCTTTTGCTGTGACTTTCCAATATACCTTATTTCTAAATTATTCTGATTTTAATGTTTAATTTTCATCACTGTCTGGCTATTAAGATTTAAAATCAGACACCTACACACTTGGTTGTTCATATCTATAACATATGTCAATATACAATGACGTATTAATTTTAATTAATTTTATTAATTAAATAAAATGTATTATTTAGTATAATGAATTGTATTAATGTTACACGTATTCCAGACAATAACGGAAATGGTAACACTGATATTTGATACCCTCTAGATGCCAATGTCAATCTGTCATTAAAGCAAAGTCATAGATACATAACCCACATGTGATAAATAAGTTATACTTAAATCATATGAGATATATCTAATTATTATCTAATTATTTGTAACACTAAAGAAGTGCCAGTGAAATGCCTGCCTGCTCTGTTCCATAGTGTCCTTTCTATCCTAGCAGTCATTTATGGGGCCATTTTTACACCTGACTCAGCAGTGTAAGCTCTGTGACAATGAACGGTGCTGACTCCAGAGAACACACACTGGAAACAGGCCAAAGAAAATAATAGATCAGGTGAGAAAAGCAAAACGCTGTGTGAGAGCAGAAGCACCAAGGCACCTAACATTTTTATTTCTTTCCCCAACTTTTCAAAATGTGCATATATAACTACACAAACATGGAGAAAGAGATAGGCGTCCATCCTTAACAGAAACCCAGTAGTATAAGGGAATTACATGTTTCACTCTTTATTTTTATTGTTGCATTTATAATTATGCTCCACATCACCTTGAGTGCTGGAGAGAGTGAAGACTCCTGGGCCTCATAGCAGCCCTGCTGAGTCAGAATCTCCTATGTGGAGGTGGGTTGGGGGGGTGGGGGGGGAAAAGGGGGGGGGGAAGGAAGTTTTTTTTCCCTTCCTTTGGAATTCTTAATGAGAATATGTGTGTGTGTTTTGAATTTAAAAATGCATTGCATTCCGTTGTTCCCTGAGTTAGGAATGTCAGCCAAAGCATAACTCAATAATATGGAAGAGGCGGGTTTTGAGTTCCCCTGCAAGGTCATGTTAATGCATCTCGTGCAAGATCGCAAAGAAGTCCTAATGCTGGCAGTGGAGGGGACTGAATGCCTTTTACACCTGTTTGTTACCATCAAGGTCAGCAAGATGCACCTGACAAACTCAGACGCTGTAACCTGAATCCTGCCTTCTTGCAAAGACTTATCTCTGATTAGGTTATTTGAATAAAACATTATTCAGAATCTCACATTATACAAGCTCGCATGCTTATATTTAAAAAATCAAGGTTTGGGGGGTTACACTATATTCTAAAAGAGTCACTATAGTTCACCAGTTGCATATTTTACTTGTTTTACAGACTTCTGATAGCAACAGCAATGGGACCACTGAGGAACAGTCCATTTGTATTCAATGTCATGAGATTCACAATGTGGATACATGTGTAAGTACAAAAAAAAAAAATACTGTATTTTTTTTTTTTTTTGAGACAGAGCCTCAAGCTGT